CATTAATATTTATACATGGCCCAACGAGCAATTTATATTTTAGCACAGAACGTGACATAAGAGGACAGTTAGGGCAAGAAGTTCTAAAAAAGTTTTTCAAAATGAAAGTTGTTCAGAGGTATTCAGTGAATGGAGAGTGGAGTTTGTTGTACAGAATAGGTATATGTAACGAAGGATTCGATGTAAAGCTGGTTGTCCACTTCTGTCGACTGTCTGCCTGCTGCTGATGGGATTAATGGGCATTATTTGCTTGTAATTTCATTGAAATCGCGTAATCGTTTTGTTGATAAATCAAATTGTGCCGTTCTATTGGTGTTACATACTCAATGAGACAACCACAGACAATCTGTAGAAACTTGTGTAGTACTCACTTTTGCATTAAATCAAGAAAGAAGGACCAGAAATATCTGTTTAATTTAACCGGATTCTGATTTCGATTGGCATTACTGTTACTAAACCGTTCCTTTTTTTTTTTATTTTAATCTGAATAGGAGGACGAAGATGGACACTTAGTGGTTTTGCAAATGATACAAGATTTGATGATAAAAAGCAAAGATGAGTTTCTAGAACATTTCGCTCGTTTGGGAGTCTTTTCGAAAGTTGCTGCGCTAGCTGGGCCGAAAGAAAATACACCTGAACCGGAAGCGGAATCAAATCAATCCGGGGAAGAGCAGAGAATGGAAGATGCAAGAGAACTTTTAGTCGGGAGAGCTTATCATTGGAGAGATTGGTGTATCTGCAGAGGACGTGATTGTTTGTACGTCTGGTCTGATGCAGCTGCCTTAGAATTATCAAACGGAAGCAATGGATGGTTTCGGTTTATACTTGATGGGAAACTGGCAACAATGTATTCCAGTGGAAGCCCCGAAGGAGGAACAGATACGTCAGGTGTGTTTTTTCCTTCCTATGACATCAACATCAAAATTCATCACGTCTTGTCCATCTTGCCATTGTCTTTCTTGTTGAAGTGTTCCCTCACCTCCTTTACACCCTTCGCGCCAAATAAGTTTGGCTCTGTTCAAATTCACTTCTTATTTATGTTATATCTTGTTCATTTGTGATTAACTTCCGCGAGGGGAATAGTTTAGTAAATAACTGGTTTTACTAACTGCCTACAGGAAAAGGGAGGAACACTGAGTCGCTTACCACCGAAGGTAGGTACATACATGTTCGGCTCTCCTAGTTGTGCACGCTGTCCTAACCTTCAATGTAAATCATCAGTCGCATGCATGACAAACTCCTTTATTTCTGCATGACCTGAAACATTCTCTGCCATAACATTATTCGGTTCATTCGATATCTTCGCACCAACTGTGGCCAGATTGACCGTATAAATCACTGGGACGTATACATTGCAGAGAACCGTGGCGAATTCTTGGAGAAATTGCAAAGAGCTCGTAGTCAAGTGAAACCAAATTCTGTGAGTCAGCCTGTTCTGTCGCGTCCTGGTACAACCCGGCTGATCGTGGGGAATTGGGCATTATCCAGTAGAAGAGAAAGCGTACTGGGCATACATAACAGCGACAGTTTGCAGGTAACCATTTTAAGAGAGGATTTGCCAGGATTTATTTTTGAGTCAAATCGGGGTACAAAGCATTCCTTCACGGCAGAAACAAGCTTAGGTAAGTGAGCAGACAATTTCTGTTGACAATATCTGACTCTAATTAATTACTGTATTATTTAATCTCATCTGTATTCATTTTCAGGCCCAGAATTTTCAGCTGGCTGGGCAGGCAAAAGAGGAAAGAGATTGAGATCCAAGATAGAAGCCATTAAACAAAAAGTTAAAATGCAAGCTCAGGACATTTATGAGCGATATTTCAAAGCTGCCCAGGCTCAGCCGCGCGGAGTGGTTGCTAAGTTGGGAGCCATTGTCAATCAGATAGAAAAGGCTTGTCAGAAGCAACAGTCTGGGAACCGAGAATGGCGTAACATATTGCAAAGTGCGCTAGAGGAACTGAAACTTTTATTAAACGAAGAGGGGAAAGTCTCCGCGTACGAGCTGCATTCTAGTGGCTTAGTTCAAGCGTTACTCGTTCTATTAGCAGCTCCGCCGGGGCCGCAGCCGCCGACATTAAGAGCGACCAAGCTCAGAATGCAACGAATAGCAGTATTTAAAAGTTGCTTCCACGCAGCGGATGTGAATAAGGAGCATAACTCGGCTAAGATTCTAGTTCATAAATTAGTTTCGGTCTTAGAGTCCATCGAGAAATTACCGGTCTACTTGTACGATACACCAGGCTCTGGCTATGGCTTGCAGATTCTGACCAGAAGACTGCGCTTCCGGTTGGAAAAAGCGGCCGGAGAAAGCTCCCTGATAGACAGGTCTGGTCGCAGCTTAAAAATGGAGCCGTTGAGTACCATACAACAATTAGAGAATCATTTACTAAGGATGGTAGCTAAACAGTGGTACGATCACGATAGATCCACATTTACATTTGTAAAGAAACTGAAGGAGGGTAATAAAATTACATTTAAATATCAATACGACTTCGATGAGAATGGCTTGCTGTACTGGATCGGTACGAATGCGAAAACTTGTTCCGAATGGGTGAACCCCGGTCAGTACGGCTTGGTCGTCGTCACGTCCAGCGACGGAAGAAACTTGCCTTACGGCCACCTCGAAGACATTCTGAGCCGCGATCCGTCCGCGTTAAATTGTCACACGAACGACGATAAGCGTGCCTGGTTTTCCATTGACTTAGGAGTCTGGATCATCCCAAGTGCTTACACACTGAGACACGCGAAAGGCTACGGTAGAAGCGCTCTGCGAAACTGGCTGTTCCAGGCCTCTAAAGACGGTGTAACTTGGACGAATCTTTACGCTCACGTTGACGACACGTCGTTGAATGATCCTGGCAACACAGCCACTTGGCAGTTAGAACTGCCGACGGATGAGACCCAAGGCTGGCGTCATCTGCGGTTGCAACAAATTGGAAAGAACTCCTCCGGGCAAACGCATTATTTGTCCGTGTCTGGATTCGAAGTTTATGGTGAAGTTACCGGGGTATGTGAAGACTTGGGTCGCGCTGCTAGGGAGGCTGAAGCCGGAATCCGAAGACTGAGAAGATTTATCAAATCCCAAGTACTGCGTCACTTAGTCGCGGGTGCTAGAGTCGCTAGAGGCTTGGATTGGAAGTGGAGGGAGCAGGATGGCGTACCGCAAGGTATTGTTGCATCCTAAGTAATTCGTTTAATGTCGCTACCCTTCGGGCTAACAAGTTGTATCTTTGTTGTCTCAGGTGAAGGTACTGTAACAGGAGAATTGCATAATGGTTGGATAGACGTAACGTGGGATCACGGCGGTTCCAATTCGTACAGAATGGGCGCAGAAGGAAAATATGATTTAAGACTTGTCGGTGCAGGTTTCGATACAGATAACGGGGCGAAAGGCAAGACTGGTGCTGGCGTGTTAACGGGACGAAAATCTAGCAGTACTCCCAGTTTACCGGATTGCACTGACACTGTGATGCGGGGCTCGGTGGCGTCTACGGATCAGGCTGCGAGCGCGGATAATCTGGCAGCTAAGGTACAGTCGAGATTCCGTTGTATACAGCTAGAAGTGTGTTTTTTTCTAATTGTTGTTCGTACAAAGGCTTGAGGTATTGTTACTTATCGACATGTATTGATTAATGTAGAACCTCGTACACTTGTTTAAAGTAGCTTCAATTTTGTCTTTTTTACGAGCAGGAGTCCGCTGAATCGATAGCAGAGAGTGTGTTGTCGGTTGCTCGTGCTGAAGCGGTTGTCGCTGTAACCGGCGAAGGTGGAGCGAACTCGACAAGCGAATTGTCCGTTGTGTTACATCCGAGGCCTGACACTACTGTGACAAGTGATCTGGCAACAATCGTTGAGAGTCTTGCGCTTAACACTGACTGTTCCACCAACAGTAACAGCAATCGTGCATCTAGTAGTTCGAAACCATTGCTTACCACTGTGCGAGGGAACAAGGTGTGGCACTTACATAATTATCAATGAAGTATATATGATACATTGTATAGCGTTTATACTAATTCTCTATTCGAATACACTTACAGCCAGTGACAAGCTTACTCGAAGCTGCTGAAGCACTGGACCGTGTCAGAGAAGGAGCTGACAGGCTACGCAATAATACTAATAGCTTTTTAAGTGGAGAGTTACTTAGTTTAGTGCCCGTTAGAATTAGCGTGTCAGGCGAGTCGGAGGAGAATTCGTTGAGGATAAAACCTGTTCAAAGACATCACTTCGCGGTTGCAGATGGTATGGCAATAGCATAATTTCCATTGCCTTCTTCTCATTGTCTGAGCAGAAGTAATCGTAGAAACTAATGATTTATACTGCTATCCCCTAAAGCACGTGTAGCTTACTCGTGTAAAACTCCATACGACTCCCTTCGTTTTTAACTCACCTGTTACATTTTCACTGAACTAGCTACCAAAGAATGCAGTCGGGACAAAGAAGCTAGCTCATCTACGCAAAACACAACTGGAGGATGTCCTGTTGTCGTGACCAATCCCATGTCCGTGTCTGTCCCCAACCTCGCTTGTTCAGACGCTAGCAATACTTTGGAACCAACTACTGCTACTGGTTTATTGGGTACTTTTAACGCAATGACTCGGAGGCGTACATTTGGTTAGTGTTCGTGAAATATTGCTAGAGAATATTCAGATTGTTTCACTACTATTAATTGTCGTTCATTTCTTAATTATCGTCAAGTATCATTCATGACATCATACTAACAAAGCGTACTCTCTTAGGACCTACAGGCGGACCACATATTGCTTCTAATTCCAATACTGGTTCAAATTCCCGCGGACCTAATTCTGTGTCAAGCTTAGTTCGTCTTGCCTTGAATCCCAATTTCCCCGGTGGTTTGTTAAGTACCGCGCAAAGCTATCCGAGTTTGACCAGTAGCGGCCAAGTGGCAGGCAGCGGTGTCACGACGACGACAGGGGCCGGCTTAGGACAAGCGCTCACAATGTCACTGACCAGTACGAGCAGCGACAGTGAACAGGTAAACATTTGATGTGCATTTCAAATGATCTCATTCGAACATTTTTTAACACAATTATTTGCGTATATAAGATCAAACATTAAGTGTATGATTTTATATAATGTAATACGTAGTTATTGCTACAGGTGAGTCTCGAGGACTTCCTGGAGTCGTGCGGAGGAGTTGCAAGTTCTAGCGCCAGTGGAGCGAGGATAATTAACAGACCAACTCTGGTGACAGAATTGGAGGACGACGAGGACGTCGCTCTCGAGGAAGAAGAGGATAACGATGATCATGATCAAGAGGTAGGTTCATAAACATACAATCCACTAACATAGCCATGGTATAATTTTGAATCATTTTTATTTCTTATATCTGCTTAGGAGGATGATGAAGAGAACGAAGAGGAAGGTGACGTCTGTGAAGGAGATTACGAAGAAGTAATGGTACACCGCAATTTATTAGCAACATTTATGGAAGAAGAAGCTTCTCAGAGTAGCAAGAGTCGCGCTTGGGACGACGAGTTCGTCTTGAAGCGTCAATTCTCAGCCTTGATTCCTGCTTTCGATCCTCGACCCGGTCGAACAAATGTTAATCAAGTCAGTATAAATAATTACAGCCCACGATCAGACGGAAATCCTTTTATTCTTATCATATAATTTTGTCGACAGACAACAGACTTAGAAGTTCCACCACCTGGCAGCGAAACTCAGTCCAGTGCTCGCGTAGGCTCGTTGCCAATGCCTAGGCTTTCCTTAACGTTGAAGGGTCCGGGTCTTCCGGGTGTGCCAGATGTTGAACTGCCACTTATAGAACCCCATGCCACTATCTTCCAAGCGGTGCAGGAGCTAATGCAGTTAACCGAATTAGGAAGTCGACAGGAGAAGCTGAAAAGAATATGGGAACCAAATTATACGTATGTATTTAACACCTTAACGTGGCATCTTAATCAGAAGCATACAATTCCGAATACTTGACCTTCTTGTGTCTCATTTATAGAATAATATACAAAGAATCCAGGGACGAAGAGTCATCGGGAAGAGCAACGCCAATCGTGACACTGTACTCCCGCAACGCTACCCAGAATTCATCGGTGTGCACCGTGGAAGACGTTCTGCAACTTCTAAGGCACGTTTACGTATTGAGCACGACTCGCGACGACGGTAAACACATAGAGAGCGAAGAGTCCGAAGAGTCGACGTGTTACGTTCACCCCGATGACTTCACCTCGAAGAAAATTACGAACAAGATAGTCCAACAGATACAAGACCCGTTGGCCTTAGCTGCCGGAGCATTGCCGAACTGGTGCGAAGAGCTCGCTAGAAGTTGTCCATTTTTGCTACCTTTCGAGACCAGGCGACTGTACTTCAGTTGCACCGCTTTTGGGGCGTCACGGTCGATCGTGTGGCTTCAGACGCAGAGGGATGCCGTTCTAGAAAGACAAAGAGCGCCTGGGCTGAGTCCCCGACGCGATGATAGCAATGAGTTTCGCGTAGGCAGGCTTAAACACGAAAGAGTCAGTGTACCTAGGGGAGAGAAATTATTAGACTGGGCAGAACAAGTACTAAAGGTAAAGTTAATCTTGATTTATCAGCTCTAATGGTATTCGCTTTTTACGTAGTCGTTATTAATCTTCATAAATCTTCCTCGTGACATCTCATTCGTCATTGCAGGTACACGCAAGTCGGAAGAGCATACTAGAAGTAGAATTCGTTGGCGAAGAGGGAACCGGTCTCGGACCGACATTAGAATTTTTCGCATTGGTCGCCGCAGAACTGCAGCGCAAAGACTTAGGTCTGTGGTTGTGCGACGACGAGGAAACTCCCGAGACGGAACAGACCAGAGTTTCCGGTGACCAGGTCCGACCCGCAGGGTATTACGTGACACGACCGAGCGGACTGTTCCCTGCCCCTCTGCCGCAGGACTCCGCCGCTTGTGATCGTGCCGTTCGATACTTTTGGTTCTTGGGTGTGTTCCTGGCGAAAGTTTTGCAGGATAATAGATTGGTAGATTTACCGTTGTCCCGTCCTTTCTTAAAGTTAATGTGTCACGGAGACATTACGAACAACGTGAACGAAAAGATCGGCCTGTCCGGTGTTACTCAAGAGAGCATGTCGTCCAGCATGTCGAGTAGTTTTATATCGGAGGAGGGCGAAGCGGACGCTGCGTACTCTTCGTTCGTGCCCTCCCCTTGGTACGCCGGTCTACTGGACATAGAGGATCTCGTACTCGTAGACCCAGTGAGAGGCGACTTCCTCAAAGAGATACAGACAGCCACCGCTAAGCGCGACAGAACTTTCTCGGACGGTCGCAGTTCCGCGGACGAAGAGACGTCTCTGAACATCACTCATCCGTCTGGCATGTCTGTGCCCATCGAAGATCTGGCTTTAACCATGACTTACTCTCCTAGTTCTAAAGTTTTCGGACACGATCAGGTCGAATTAGTTGACGGCGGTGCCGAGGTTACAATCACTATGGATAACGCAAGGGAATATGCGGACTTGACGAATAACTATTGCCTCGACCGAGGTATCGCCAGGCAACTGGAGTCATTCAAATCCGGTTTCTCGAAGGTCTTCCCAATGGAGAAACTCCATGCTTTCAGTCCTGAAGAGATAAGGGCGATGCTCTGTGGTGAACAAAATCCACAGTGGACCAGAGAAGATTTGCTCAATTACACCGAGCCTAAGTTGGGTTACACAAGAGAAAGGTGAATATTGGTTGAGATTACATTGTGACACGTAGTTTGTGTTATTGTTATTTGAATATGGTATTTTATGTGGAGGGAGAGAATGAATCTCTGACATTTTCTGTTACAGTCCTGGATTCCAGAGATTCGTGAACGTTCTAGTTTCGTTGACCGGCCCAGAAAGGAAGGCTTTCCTACAATTCGCGACTGGATGTTCAGCTTTACCTCCCGGTGGATTATGTAATTTGCATCCGAGATTGACTGTGGTGAGAAAAGTGGACGCTGGTTCAGGTGGTTATCCCTCCGTTAACACCTGTGTTCATTATTTAAAATTACCGGAGTATCCCACCGAAGAGATACTTAAGGAGAGACTCTTGGCTGCAACTAGGGAAAGAGGATTTCATTTAAATTAATCTCGTTTCTGGTCTGGCAAGGAACTGTTTGCGACAAACAGAACCAGAAAAGCACCCGCTCTCGAAGTGTGCGTATCGAACTTTGCTTCACAGATTGAATCGTGTGATCTAATGCACGAGAGCAAAGTCTGGCCTTGATGTTATTCGAAGAAAAAACCTAAAATAATTGTCCAATAGGAGTCGGTACAGGTTTAAAAGAATCAGCATACGACCTGGAACGGAAACGCATAATAAAGCGTTTAGATATCGCTTAAATAAAATAATAGTTATCGGCGTAACGTGAATAGTCTAAGCGTAATGTTATGTTTCAAATTTAGCGTTCAAATTTGTACGTTTTAAATGATCTGTAATGTAACAAATAGTATCAAACTATGCTGTTCACAACACCTTGTTGTTCGTGTAATATCTTTTAATAATGAAGCAACCATTTTTTAATATACTACCATAATATTTGCTACATAATTACATCCTGATTTATATATACAAATATGTATATCTAACAACGCGTATAAATGAGAAACAGGATCAACTCGATAATTTATCAGATTTGCCGTAAGTTTTTCGTTCCAGGTGGTGGTCATATGATACGATGACGAATTTTGTCCAATACAATAGAAATTGTATTTTCTCAAGAAATGTAATACACACGAGTGTTTTCAAGTATATTTGCTGTCCTTGTGGAACAAGAACTTTACAGTTCCTCCATATAGAACGAATGTTCATACTGTCTTCTTTGTGAAGTATTGTTGTGCTTGGAAAGTGATTCATGTTGTAAGAAAAAGAGGCTCCCTTGATGAAAATTTCTATTTTCTTTATCAAAATGCCTCTAACGGTACACAACACACGCGCGTGCGCGCTCGTATACACATACACACACGTATTACACGTACACACGTCGTTATTGAAACGCACGAAGAACAGTGTAAATCAAAATTGCCCTGTGCAAAGTGCTAAGTTTTTTATTGGTCACAATGGAAACGATGTATTTTAGCATCTAGACCAATTTTCACAGCTTCAAATGTTTGTCCCTTTTAATCGAATATATCAGCGCATCACTAACAAAACAGGCAAAGAACAAAAAAAGAGAGAAACAAGGAAAAGTGGAGAAGCGTTTTGACGAAAAGCGTTCACGAAGACTTTGCAAGCTGAGCACTCTGCATCTTTGTACAATATGCTACTTAATGCTCACTCGATAATTATAATTATAGGCGGAAATCAGTATCCTTGTAATAATAGTGTCTAGAAGAAAAGATATGAAAATAATATAAATGTGAGAAAAGATTGATTAATGATATCGATATGAGGAATAGTTACTATTACTGTAATATAAATTATTATTGATTCTTGGGGAAAAGAATAAAAGAGAAAAAAAACGTTATAAAGTATAACATGTTTTTCAACGTAATTTGTTACATATTTTATACAGTTTATGAATATAAACGTATGTATTTAACAATTCCATTGCCCTTTAAAAAAGATATGCATATCACTAGATCTCATATAATGTACGACCTACGAATACCACTAATATATAATGTACACAGATCCATTGGTGTCCTTTTTGAAGGCTTCATAAGATCAAGGTTTATATTTCCGGTGTGATTTATGTATATTATGCAGAGAACATTCATTTTTATTTTTTACAGTTTCGCCGATTGATGTAGGGGATTCTCAGGATTATAGTTTTCCGATCGTAGTCACTTGCTTTGTAATACAGTGTTTGCTTCAGCGCGTTCTTCTTCTAATTCGCTAGCCGTAGCAGTCAACTTGGACCTTGCAAAGTCGTTAATTGGAAGTCCCTGGAAGTTTATTATAAATATCATGTACCTTTTTATTTTTAAAATATATAGTTGAATGTTAGATAATATAATATTAAGTGCTTACTTGTACAATTTTATATTGCTTGTTTTCTATGGTTACTGGAAAAGAGAATACAATATCCTTTGGAATTCCATAGCTGCCATCAGACAGGACACCCATGCTGACCCATTCTCCTGGGTTGGTACCCATCCACCAATCTCTCATGTGATCACCAGCTGCTTTGGCAGCTGACATTGCAGATGACATTTTTCTGGCAGCTATCACAGCCGCACCGCGTTTCTGAATTGTTTCCACAAAGGTAGTTTTCAACCACTGTTCATCATTTACAGCTGATGGTACTGGCTTGGTGCCAGATGAAAGAGTTACAGAAGCATGTGCAGCATCAGGGAATTGAGTTGAGCTATGGTTACCCCATATAATTACTTTCTTCACTTTATCAACCTGTTTGCAAATGTAAATTTAAGTAAAACCATATGTTCTATCTAATATATATATATATATATTGTAACATTAAATCTACCTGTACACCCAATCGTGCTGCTAAAGCTGCTTGAGCACGATTTTGGTCCAATCTAGTCATGGCAGTAAAGTTTTCTTTTGGAATAGATGGTGCATAGTGAGAGCAAATCAATGCATTTGTATTAGCAGGATTTCCAACAACTAAAATTTTAACATCTTTTCGAGCATATTTATCCAAAGCCTCTCCTTGTACTTTAAATATTGCTACATTAGCAGCTAACAAATCTTTGCGTTCCATCCCTTCTTTTCGTGGCATTGCTCCAACCAGAAAAGCAGCAGCAACATCCTTGAAGGCTACTGCCGGATCAGCAGTTGGTACCACTTCTAAAAATGTAACATTAATGTATGCCTTTATTGTATCTAAATCTCCTTCTCTCAAAAAGGTCATATGCTTCAGTAGAGTCAACATGTTACGTAATGTCAATGTTACGTAATAAGCGCTATTTCCATATCTTGCCCAAGTAAATAAAGTAACATACTGTTCACGTATAAGTACTAATCGAGCAATTCCCATGTAATTTCATTTAGTGTATTATTATACCATTCATTAGTTGCTTAACACATAGTGTTTTTACCTCTCAAAAGAGGAAGAGCCAAATCTTGCAATTCCATGACTACCCCATCCAAAACTTTCATCATAACTGGGATATCTAATAAACGAAGATTAATTGGTTGAGTTGGACCAAAAACTGTACCAGCTGCAAGCTGGTACAGTAAGGAATAGGCAATTTGCCCTGCAGCTCCCGTAACCACCACATTAATTGGTTCAGTCTGAAAAAAGAGATAAATAATTCAACTCAATTATTAAAAATCTAGACAATTTGTTGAGTAGATTTGAATGTTCATGTAAACTCATATTTTTAACAATTAAAGAACAGCAATATATTAAATTACAGTTCATACTCATTTAAATTTGAATTTTATTTTAATACATACAGATCTAAAACTTAACAATGAATATGGTTAATACAATTTTTAATCTTTATTTAAATAATTCTATTTAATGCTGTGTAATACAGGTGGTTAAACATATGTAACATCTAAGATTAATTAAATACTATGAAAAAATAATTATAATGCTTTAAATGATACATCAAGGTCAAATGTAGGTTAAGCCACGATTGTATCGAATAAAATATGCAACATTAAAAATTGTTGATTTTTTTAAACAAAATAATAAGTCTAAGGCAGCAGTTACTTACCATCTTTCACCGGGATTCAGTATAATACTGTGAGATATCGAGATAAGGCCGAAGAAAGTGATAGAATTATCCAGAAGCACTAAGGTCGAACTGATTGGTGTAATAACATTGACAGCGACTGGTCTGGAAGATAGATTCGAATTCGAATGTTCGCGCTGGAGGCCGAATTTTATAGCGAACTTACTTCCTATTTTTTGCGAATTAAAACGCAGCAATGTTTCAATTATGTATCCGTGATTATATACGCAAAATGAGCAACGTCCAAGTATCAAAATAACGTTTAAATTATGAAGGATAATCGATATTTTATGAAAAATACTTTTTGTATATAGTCGAGCTGCTCTTTTCTTCCTTGTGCACTCTTTTTATTCGTCATACGTTTCACAAATTTAGTTTGAATTAGAGTCATTAGAGAATTCAAGTATTTGGTTTTTACTTACCATATTATTGTGTATATGCCTGCCAAGTAAGATTTTGTTGCATAATATTTACAGATATCGCATAAGAGTTCCAAAAATTTATTTAAACCTAGTATCCAATCCTAGCTTAGGATAAAGTTTCAAATATTTGCAGCTAGAGGGCCAAAAATGAAATTTGATTCTCACAAGCAGTTGCGTTGTTACCTCGTGATTCAAATTTATGAATACATTACATCAAATATTTCAGATTCTATTATTATAGAAGCTTATTATCTGAATATTCGTTATTGCTTATGTTATCAATTAATTTCAATGAAAGTGATAAGATTTGGTGCTTCTACCACAAACTTAAAATTAATGCAGATATCCTGCAGAATACTTTTTTCGTCCATTGTTCTGTAGTACCGACAGTGAAACTAATGCGCTAATGACTTTCATCTGAATAGTTCAGCTAGTACAAACTTAGCAAGATTTTAATAATATCGTGTTACGAATGTTAAGTTTCTACTTGAATTTTCCTATAATATATAACAATTATACGGTTATTATTCATGCTTTTTACCATAGACTTAAGTTTGTGATTTTGGCCAATTAGTTTCACAGGCTTATCATTAGATGGTGTTGGCAAGCCGCTTCAAATGACGGTGTCATGATAGGGGTATGTCATGTGGTTTTGGAAATTTATATTTAAGTTGCATAAAGTTATATTTTCTTTGAATTTACGATAATTTTCGTCATTAACAGTTAGTATTCTCCGTTTATAATTTTAGTGAACCGAATATTGTTGTTATGTTACGTGTAGATCACATGTAAAATGCAATGATAATCAGGTACCAGGGTGACATATACCTACATACATGCTTATAGATACATCAGCCGGATAGTTAGTACGATTTCAGCCATACGTCAAAATGGCTGAGTTAATTGCGGTGCCGTTGAAGAAACCGTTCGATGTCGATGTTATTAAACCATTAACGAACGTTATTAAATCAACGTACAGCAGTGCGAGTAACCAAAAAGATTATACGGAAGCAATTACCGATTTCAGTAAATTAAGGAACAACGCGTTATGGCGAGCTTTCGAGAAGTCCGATAGCTCCTTAGAGATTATATACAGGTATGAGTCATCTTTAATTAAGTATTATTTTAATCGTACTTACGTTAATTTCTTAAATAATATCTACTTCTACTTGCACCGTTTGGTTAATTATATATTCGTCATTAGCCATCATGGGAAATTAGAAACTTTTTTTAGCTGGTCATTATAGGTGTTTTCCGAATAATGACGTGGATTAGGAATGATATCAGCATTTCGTGAAATTTATGTGCTACATACTATTATATGCAAGGATTGTTGTTGAAGAAAATGTATGATTTACTGTTGTAGTTACTATGATCAACTGTGTGCATTGGAGGGCAAGATACCTGCCCATGAATTACAGATTCCATTCAAATGGAAAGATGCATTTGACCGTACGATGTTTGGAGGAAAACTTAGTTTAAGTAAGATTATTTTAAGTGTAACTAAAATCTGATCTACAATAGGACAATTGGTAGAAGAAAATATAAATTAATCTTGTTTGATTTTAAGTTGATTAAGGAATAGATTCAAAGCAGATAAGATAAAGCTGTTTTTGAGTTCATCAATATATTAATCATAATTTATATTTAGATAATAGCCACTATGGAAAAGACTGATTGAATTTAGGATATATAAGAATATTAAAAACGTGACATATTGTACATCAGTTTCATAATATTATTTATTTCAGCTATTAGTACATTGGCTTATGAAAAAGTATGTGTTCTATTCAATATTGCTGCTCTGCTAAGTTCAGTAGCAGCAACACAATCGCTTCATGATATGAAATCAGCTGCAAAATTATTTCAAGTTAGTATTTGAATTAAGGAAATCATCAATATACTGTAGCAAAGTTCTAATATCTGTATACACAAATATGTTACATAAGTATTATATAAATTTCAGCAATCTGCAGGTATCTTTAATTATCTTAAAGGAAATGTTATGATGGAAATTCAGCAAGAACCTACACCTGACATCAGTCCAGAAACATTAGGTGCATTATCTATACTAATGCTTGCTCAAGCTCAGGAAATATTTGTACATAAAGCTATCGAAGATTCCATGAAACATGGAATTGTAGCTAAATTAGCTGCTCAAGCTGAAGAACTTTATGCGGATGCATTAATGTTGTTCCAGAAAGAGATTTTCAGGTCTTTTTGGGATAAGGAATGGGTTCCTTTGGTACGTGTATGGTATTTTTTAAAAATTTAGTACATATATGTATATAACATTCTACTATCTTCATGTAGATAGCAGGGAAGCAAGCCGGTTACTTAGCAATGTCTGAATTTTATCAATCTTTAGTATGTAAAAATAATAAAGCTATTGGAGAAGAAATTGCTAGACTAGAGGTAAATCTTATTTCGTATAAAGTGAAAATAACTGATATTATCACTATTCCTAAAATACTGATTAAAATGTTTACCATTAGCATGCTGTGGAATTGTTCAAAGCAGCGCAACAACGTTCGAACAAACGTAACTTATTTGAAGAATATTTCAATAAGGCCCAAAGGAATCTTACAGAAGCAAAAAAAGATAATGACTTTATTTATCATGAAAGGATACCAGATGTAAAATCTTTGGAGCCCGTAGGTAAAGCCAACATTGTAAAGTTGTTGCCCATGCCTGAGACTTTCAGTACAAACTTCAAAGGTCTGTTGTAAATTATCATGAAATGATACATTCACATTGATCAGGTTTTACATATAATCTTACCTAATATTCTAGATCTTTTCGCTGATTTGTTGCCTGTAAGTGTTCACCAAGCATTGTCATCCTATGATGTTCGTCGCAATGAATTAGTTAATGCAGAAATTTCTAAACTACGTGAAATGACGCAAGTGCTAAATAGGTACAATAACAATTTGAGTATGTGTAATAATTATTAAATACATCGATAATTAATGATTCAATTATTTTAGTATTCTGGCAAGTTTGAACTTACCTGCCGCTATCGAAGATACGAGTGGTGCCGAATTACCTCAATCTGTGTTGGAGAAAGCTCAATTTGTGAAGGAAGCAGGTGGAATTACTGCTTTAGAAAGTGCTATGACTGAACTACCAGATCTTTTACAAAGAAACAAAGAAATCTTAGACGAGGTTAGAAGAAGAAGAAATAATACAGAATAATAATAGTACTTTCAAATTATTTTTATTTCTCATTCACAATTTTTAGTCTGAAAGAATGCTTCAAGAAGAACGGCAATCTGATGATCAGTTGAAAGAACAATTCAAGGAACGTTGGACCAGAATACCTAGCTCTCGTCTGACAGAGCAGTTCACTATTACTTTACGGAAGTACCGTGAAATTATTAACAGGGCTGTAACGGCTGATAAGGTAAATAAACGTAAAGATCAATTTTATAAAAATTCACATATATATGTTGACACATTTGTTACGTTATTTGTAGGCTGTACGTGAAAAATATGAAACTCACAAAGAAGGTATGGAAATTTTGAGTTTAGATGACAGTGCCCTGATCAATGCGGTACCAACTGGATCAGGTGTTCAGGAAAGCAGCACAGTGTCACAACTTAGACAACTTATGGAAAATGTAACTTGATTATGATTTCTTTCTACGTCTCCCTGATGATGTTATTACTTTATTTACATTAAAACTATGATTTTTCCCCAGGTGGAAACATTAAAAGCAGAACGTGATGTCATAGAAAGTGAATTGAAGTCTGCCACTACCGATATGAAAGCAACGTTTTTGTCAGCACTTTCTAAAGATGGTGCTATCGATGAACCAAACTTATCTGTAGAAAGCATAGGAAAAACTTACGGACCTTTACAAAAGCAAGTCAGGGACAGTGTTGCACGGCAAGAACAGTTGATCGCTGATATTCAAGTACATATAAATCGTTTGTTTATTAAACAATTAGAATACTTTTTAGGATATTAATTTTCATTGGAAATATTGCAGAGGTGTCATGCAGCGTTTACTAACGAGCAATCTGGCAGTGGTAGTTCAAGAGAGGCAATGCTATGCAAATTAGCAGCTGCTTATGATTCATTTAAAGAATTAAAAGGCAATTTAAATGAAGGTGCTAAGTTTTATAATGACTTAACACAGGTATGGTAATGAGCATTAAGTTAATTATTTATTGGTACTTTGAATTATTACTGACGTAACAGCAGTGAGATTATGGGTATCGAATTATTTGATTTCACAGTTACTGGTAGTGTTCCAAAACAAAATATCAGATTTTTGTTTTGCTCGAAAAACGGAGAAGGAGGAACTACTGAAAGATTTGACGACAAATTTGAGTCATGCTGGTCCAACTACAACTCCCACCATTCCAGCTCATCATGGTGGTATGCATTGCAATCTACAGTAACTAATTACTTCGTATACTCAGCTTTAAATATATACATTTGTACAGGAACATCTGGACAGAATCAGCCTCCTGCGCCTGAACAAACTACCGCACCATCGCAGTTGCCGTACCCTACACAGTTTCAAGGAGCAATGCCCATACCGTACGGAGCTGGTCCTGCTACACCGTATCCTGCATATATTGCTCCTCCCATGCCTACAGCGTATAATCCATATGCGACAATGCCTTATCCTACCCAAGGTAATTCACAAATGTTTTTTTTAATAATGTACATGTACATTGCAATGAATTTTCATGGCTTTAATCGGTTTTATTAATCTTGTTCATTACATTAGCTCCAGGAAATTATAATCCGTACCAAGGTATGCCTCAAGTTCCTTATGGTGGGTATGCAACTTTGCCACGTTACGGAGGGAACCAAAATCCTCCCGGTCACAATCCATTTTGAAATACGAATTGTGTGTTGCATGTACTATGATTGTAACTATAGACATGCAAACGTGCAGAATCAGCAAAGCTTATGTGTAATAACGTCGCAGAAATTAAAGCGAAATATATTTTAATGGCATTTCGTTCTGTCCAGCATCAAACAATGAATAAACAACGTTTAAGATCGGTTTAGAGGACAGACACTTCTTGATTGTTATTAAATTTCATGCAGTTAAATTTTGATATAATATTTATCGATACGTGATATAAGTTAAGCGTTACGTTTAGATAAAGTCAATCTTATTTTATCTTATTGTATAATTTTATTCAAGTCGAATTGATTATCTTACTTATATCTTGATTAAATTGATGATTATCAATACTATACACGTTATGGTTATATTCATGCAATATACTTTTTAATGGTTCGAAAGTATTTCACAAAGAAAGTGATAAATACAAAACATATACAAAACTTCTGCAATTTATAGATATATTTTGTAACATAACGTACAGTCTCCGTCATTGTAACACTATACAACCGTAATTGCTAGGTAATCATTGCCTTCATTTTGTATTTAGTTAAACAATTTTATATTACTGATCTTTTGCTATATCGCACTGTTCGTAACTGCGCTTTCGTTTCGAAATGTATATTATATATTTTTTGTAATAAATTAGAATGTTCTAAATAATAATGAAGTTGACCTAAACATATGTAATGTTATTCCCCACTCTGATTTATTGTCGGATTTATGGTAAATATTTTTATAAGTATTATGTAAAGTACATCTAGTACATTAGTCTTGTGTCTAGGTTGGCAACACGTTAATGACGACAATGGAAAGGGGAACCCCTGATCGGAGTTACTAGCTTAAAGGTTGGTAGGCTGTTTTCAGTATTTGGGGTGAAATTATGATCTGCTAGGGACATTGTACTAGTAACAGTACACAGCTCCCAGATGACTTTTAACACTATAATGTTTCGTAACATGAGTTTACACATATGTTGTTTTGTAGTTGTAAAAAGGAAGCAGACAATGGAAGATTTGTTGCCTCAAACAAGTGTAACGCAGTAAATAATTCCTCTAACACACATGCTGTGGAGGAGTTTAGGAATTGTTGCAGAAATGATATTATACAGAACCTGTTCCTTCCTTCAAAGATAGCACCGTTGAAATGACTCCAAAACGGAAGGTATGTGGATCTTATGTAGGTTAGGGAAATACTGTTGTTGTGTTTGTTTTAAATCATCAACAAGTCCTATCATGTCAGATGTGAAATAAATGTTTCTGTGAATGACAAATACAATTCATTGTTAAATCCTAGACAACCAGCTCAGAATCTACTTCAACAACCAGCTCTGGCTCCTCATCTAGCAGTTCCTCTAGTTCAGGCAGTGAATCTAGCTCATCCGATTCGGAAAACTCCAGCAGCTCTGCAAATAGCCAGAAAGCTTCTGACACAGAGAGAACAAAAAAGAAAGCAACCTTTCCTGCTAACCGGCATGGCAAGACTAAAGCTGAAGCAGTTTCTGTTGTATCATCAGAAACAAAAAATAAGGAAAGAGTACCACCAAAGAGTAGATCTGTAGTATATTCTTCAGAATCTGAAGAATCACCTGCTAAAGTAAAATCAGCAAAACGAAAACCACCAGCCAAACCTAAAGCCACTGCTACAGTAGCTCCAGTTGTTAAACAGCAAAGACCACCTGCGAAATCTACTACTACTTCTGTACAACAAAAAAACACATCAAATCCCAAACCAATTGGTGGTAATAAGCCTAACAAACCTGCTGGTAAGAATATAATGTATTGAGAACAATTGTAATCAAACTATTTCTGTTTATTTACCAGTATATATTTTCATATATTTATCAGCATCTACAAGCACCAATGGGAAAGTACTAGACAAATCAACGAAAGTAACATCTGAGCCTGTACAAAAGAAACTGAAAAAGAAAAGTATCTTTAGCCCAGAGAATAGCAGCGAAAGTGATGGTGGTATTCCTCCTAAGACCACTGTACCCAAGCCAACGAATAACTCTACCAAGTACACAAAGAATCAGCCAACCAAGGCAAAACCAGTTGACACAAAACAAAAACTAGTTGCTCCTAGCAGACCCAGTAAGAGTAGCAAGATGTTTTGATTTTAATTCTATTGAGATCTCTCAAAGTATACATATATATAATAATAATACCACTTTACCAGGTCTATTGACGAAAGCTGTACAACCTCAGAAGTCTGACAGCTCTGCAAGTTCCAAAAGTTGTTCTGCAGGATCAGGTTCTTCTGGTTCATCGGACAGTAGCACAGACTCTGAATCTTCTGAAAGTATAGCGAGTCCACAGCCTCAAATAAAGAAAAAAGATACTCAACCAAGTGCAACGGTAGCTGCTGCAACCAATGTTCCACCGAAACGGCCCTCTGTAGCAGTAGCTCCAGTGAAACCACAAAAGTGTACAAAACGGCAAAGTAAGTTCTACGATTTTTCGTCCATTTATATTTACAATTCTAAAAATTTTTGTTTTTACATTTAGGCACAGTAAAAAGTGACGATGAAGCCGACGCGTCTGCCAGTGAGAAAGAGATTGATGAGCACGGGGAGACAACTGCTTCGAAGGTGACGGCGAAGGGCAAAAGGAAACTCCAGACGCGTAAGGGTAGCAAGTTACTTCAGCTTCAAACGAAGGCTGCTAGCGATTCGGAATCCGACGCAGGTACGAACGTATCGTAGCGGTTACAGTAACATAGCGTGCGGTCATGACATTACTAATCTGCAACTCCTTGCTCCTTACCTCTCTTTTGATAAATTTAGTTTCTTGTACATAGTAGTTTAACACTTTCACTGTCTCTCCAGATTACCAGTAATACTTTTCTATTCTGTTTGATTCTTTTGGTTGACACACCTCTTTACCATTTCTTTTCATTATTTCCGATTGATTTCAGTAAGTTGAACAAGTGATTGTTTTGGTAACTAGTTAGCACTAACCTGTTATTTCTGTACGTTCTCTTCCAATAAGTTCAGTCCCTCCTGTCGACCTTTTCGTTACAAAATGCAAAAGAAATACGAAGATAGAGAAACGTTATAGGTGAATTCTAAGCACCACCGTTCTATCATGACGAGCATCTCAAAATTCATTCACTTCTCGAGCAAAATACAGGGTGTTTCTACAATCGTGGTACAACTTGAACGAGGATGATCCCTTATTCAAATATCAGGCGAAAGTATTCATCAAATTTCATCATATAACGGGTAGAACAACAGTAAAAACAGAGAGCTTGAACGATAAATAGAAGTAAGTTATGATCAGCCAGTTGATTAACGGGTCTACCTAAAAATAATAATAAATTCGAATACAACCGCAGAATTCGATTTCACGGGCGGTCGAGGCTCACAAAAGGAAATTTTATTCTGTAGTTTCCCTTCCGCTTAATGTTCCCGGTTGCGCCACGATCGCCGAAACATCCTGTAGAATCGAAGCGACGCGAAAGCACTAGTTTTCCATTCGTTGAGAGAGCAAAGAAGGAAAAGAGGCCGGTAGAGACACACATTATTCGCAGGCGGTGGATTTAGGACTCTATGCTGCCTCCTTAACACAAAAAAGCAGTATTTGCGGTTCTGGATGGATGGATTGGACATATATGTTATGTGGCC